AACACTGCCTGTGAGATAGAGCAAAATACCTTTATAAAGATGATACAGGAAAAAAGGGCAGATGCCAGTACTTGTCCAGTTCAAGGCTTTTTAATGACTGGGAAATTCTTTCATTACGTACATAGGAGAAGTGATGGCACACTGTGTATCCAAATCTAAGAATTTACAGTGGACTTTTATTGTCACACCATAATACGAGAGTGACTTGACTCTCTCCTAAATTATAATGCATCATTTGATAGTAATCAGTATTTTTGTTCAAGTGATTTTAAAAAGAGATTTGTTAAAAGAATGAATTTTTAAATACACAAAATCATAGAGCTTTGGTGATGAAAATAAATTTTTGCCATAATTCCTCACTGAACGAATGAGGACACTGAGGACCAGAGGTGAAACTGATTCTCCAGAGTCATTGGTAAGCCCTTCTGCAGAGCAGTCAAGCAAAGAAAGCAGGTCCCCTAACCCAGGGAGCTCTTGTCCCTCTCTCACAATGTTCAACATTCATCACTTTTCTATAGCCATTGTTTTTTTGAAACGACTTTGTTCACATATGTCATCCATCATAAACTATTTTAATGAGCATTACATAATTTCATAATGTAATCATAGAACTATTTTTTTTCTTTTTTTTTGTTAAAGAAACAAGTACTTTGCCTAGTCCCTGGGCCATGTTTTCTCCTATGAGTATAGCTCTCCCACACTTGAGAATTAAACTCTAAGTTTTGATGGCACTGATGTATGTGTAGTGATAAGGAAATAAGGCTGAGTTTTCTGTGACTAGGTACCAAAGGCAGACTAAAAATATAACAACTTTCAAGTCTAGAGAAAAAAACTTAGAGGGATGTAGTTAAAGTCTAAAAATCACAAAGTCAAGTAAGGTGATAAACCAAAATGTTCATCAATCCCTGGGTAAAATACAGTAGAGTACCCTGAAGGTCAGAAAGTGGGTTTAGGGTAAATAAAACAAAAGACTATGTTATATTTATGGAATTCATTTTGTCACCTGGTGGTGGAGGCTGAAAAGACAGAAGACTTCAAACAAGGTAGATTAATTCTTCACTCATGTAATGGATTTCAAGGGAGCCCAAGTGTGCCCTAGGGTAGCATCCCTAACCTTTGAGGTTGACCACAAACCAGAGAACCATACTCTTGCAAGAAACCTCAAGGCCATCTTCACATAGAATATACTATTCTACAAGACAATGGGTCAGACTCATTTAGCAAGTCTTAATTCCTACTGGAAAGCAAGAACTCCCTCAATGGACTACACATTAGAGTATAATAACCTGTCCATCAACCTGCTAAGCCATTTCCAAGCAAACAGAAAAGGTACAGAAAGATATCTCCAGCTCAAAAGTCTAACCAACCCAAAACAAAAATGAAAAGACTTGTTTACTAGTTTATGGGCTCGCCAAGGAACGGGAACCCTCTTTGTTCTCCCCTCATTTATCTCGGTGTCTAGCATCTAGTAGGGTTTAATAATTATGGTGTTAACAAGTTCTGCTCTAAAACTATAAATATCTCCCAGAGGGTGTTAAACTAATTATAATTAGTCATTTATACCATGGTGGGCTTGACAGATGTGGGATTAACAAATCTTAGAAATCACTGAAACAACTATGTCGTGATGGTCGGGAATATGGAATAAACCAGCAACATCTCCTTGGCCCCTGGAAAATTAACCACTAAGATCATTATACCCAGAGATCAGGATACAGTTAAAGGCCAAACTCAAAAACATGTATGAAAATTCAAAATAATGCATAGAAAAGCATTAGTTTAGATTAATTAAATGCTATTAACATCATACCAGGGAAAACATTTATTCTAGAGTGTTCTAATCTAGTTGCTGTTAAACTACTAATAAAATGAATTTTTAGTGAGCATATAGCCTTGTACTCCCATATACACATCCAAAACTCATCCATTTTATGGGCCTAAGCCTAATACAGAAACTCAGTATTTACCAAATAGATAAATAAATGCCTATTAGATCTGTAACCAACTTATCTTCGCAGAGTATTACAGCACTCGTTTCAACAGTATAAATTTAAATAATCAATTATTAACACTAATGATCTCATGTAACATTTCTTCTCCTCCCTTCCTTCTCAGAGAAGTTGACACCATAATTAGTACTGTGCTTCAGAAACCACGACCACTTGACTCCTACTTCAGCAAAACCTGGAACCAACTCCACGACAGAAGGAAAATCTACTGCCAGCCTCCGCCACATAAAGAAACGGAGTCCAGGGCCAGTTGTCTAAAACTGTTGTGTGTTGTCATTCTGACCTGCATGTGCAAATCCTGCCTTACTACGGGACAAGAGGGGTGGGGACGGGGTGGGCAGCTGGGGGTCGGGAGGTGAGACAGTTTCATCAGGGAGACAGAGGTTCCAATGGCCAGCAAATAGTTGATAATTGTGACTTCTGTGACATAACACTCTCACAAGACAGAGATCCCAGTGGCCATTGTTTCTTTTAAGAACAATGGTTTCCAGTTAACACATGGTACAGTCTGTGAGATGATGCAGTGCACTGACCTGTGTATAATACACACTCATGGAATTAAAGGATTACTAGGATACCAGATGTCCAAACACTGCCAAAATGCGAACCCACCAAAATAATGGAACTGCAAGCAACAGCAGTATCAGAAGTTGAAAGGGCGACAGCAACTTTGCTCCACACAATCTCATGTGCCAATAAGCAGGCAACAAAAGCCTGGCAACATTAGGCTGCCAATACTGTAAACTCCATTTCTTTTTGTTTGAAAAGAGCCTGAGAGTAGTACCTCCTGAAGAATCACAGCCATTCTTCCCCTCTCTAAATATATCAAGACACCAAAAGGTCAAAGGTTCAAGGTTAAGGAAAGATCAAAGCAATAAATCCATACATCTTTTTAAATGAAAAATAATTATGCATACATGCTATATACTGTTACAACATGGGCACTGAGAAAAAAAGAGAGAAATAAATTAATATTAATATGTACTCATAAATCCTAAGACTTCAGACTAATGGAGGAAGTACAAAGCCACAAAAGCACCAGTCCTTGGACAGACAGCTCTGCCTAAGTTACAAGTACCTCCAAATGACACTGCTGTGCTTGCCAGTCTCACAGGAACAAAGGAAAGGGACTGCAATGACAGCCTTCTTGCTGACCCTCCACCAGACCCTTACACAGCTACTGTCACTGTCGGCTGACAGCTGATGACAAGCCAGCAAAGGGAAACATGAAGGCCATGGGCAACTGGAGGCTTGGTAGAGACCTGAGGCCACAGCAACAGCCCAGAAGGTTGGCTCCAGAGCTGTCAGGCACAAGCACACACAAGCCTTACACATACTCTGCATCGAAAGTCTGCTGGTGGCAGAAAGGTAGCTGTGAGACCTCTACTAGAGCATCACAATCATGGGCAAATCCTTGAGTGATATTTCTAAACAGTGCATAAGCTTAAATGCATACTCCAAATTAAAAAAAAAGTTAATGTACACTTATGCATAGCCACAGAATTTCAGGATTCCTAAAGGGATAGACATCTTCCAATTCAACTCTCTCTTTAAATAGCACAGAGCTGTTAGGGAACTCAACTAAAGTTTAAAAAAACAAGTTAGTGGAAGAAGCAGGACCCAACAGTTTACTCAAAGCTTTTTCCAACTCGGGGAAAAGTGACCTTGAAAACTAGTTGGATGACAAAGGCACAATTTTATTGGTCACCAAGACAGCAAGCACCAGAGAAGCAGCACACAGTAGTAATTTCTGTAAGAGCAAAAGCACAAGCTGAAATTTTGAGGAGGGCAAAAACCTTAAATGCAAGCAAATTTTAAAAATTAACATTAAACTTAATTAACATTAAATTGCTTTCATCTGAGTTTTAGCTGGCAATCTATTGCTTCAATGCAATTAAATCTATGCATTGTGTAGCCTACTTTAAAACGTAAGGCCAAACAGATCTGGAAAAGTACAGCTTTATACTTGTACATAATTTATACTATAGTGTACTGTAATTAAGCCTGAAATAAAAGCTATATTCTGAGTAAAGACAAAAAGCTCTTGTTAATGACATTCCACTCGCAATGGAGAATGTGACAAAAGGCTTCTTCATTTGGAGCCAACTGTCATTATACTTTGTAGCTTGTATGGAGCTATTGGACTAATATTTGTACTGGGATTAGCGTTGGGATAACCAATCGGTTAACTCCGCCACTGCAGTTTTCTATTATCCTCAAATAAATGGCCAAAAGGAAGAAAAGAAAATTGGCAGGTAGAACGACAACTATATTTATGAGATTAAACTCTCAAACCCTTCACAGTTTGCCGGGCAACTAATAACCATTTGCCAAGCTGTTCATTTAATAATGAGTCAGCTAAGCCAAAAGCAAATGTTCCTTCAACCAACCAGTGTTACTCCAGTCATATCCACATTGACAAGCCCCAATTATTTCTGTAACGAACTTCATTTAGAGTAAGAAGTACAAATTGCCATCTAAGAAAAACAAATGCTCTCATTAGCCAAATGCAAGCTAGATTGCATTTTTAAAAAATAACTCAAATTTATGTGATTTTGTAATTTATGAAAGCCAAATTCAACAACAAATAGCATGGGGAGTAGTTCCTATTTCTGTCACTTTCTATACCAAGAGCCAGAAGCTTACCACCCAAAACTGTAGTCAGTAATCCCACAATCTTAGGTCATCTGACAGAACGTACACCTTTGATAAATACAGTGGAATGCTAATACTGAGACCAGTCCCCCTTAGCGATTATTTGGACCTGGCAAAGTACTGTTTGTCAAAGCAAAGGAAGGTGTGCATTATACAACACAATGATAAGGCATGGTCTCATTAATCTGGGAAACAGGAAGTGGTAGGGGCTACTCCCCAAGAAATAAATATGTATGTCAAAATAGAGACCTAACACTTTGCTCTTCTCCCACCCATCTCCACATATCCAAAGGTTAATAAAAGCAACCAGCAGGTATCCCCTTCACCTCTACTTACTAATAGTTCATCCATACTGGTCTGGCATTTTTCCAAGTTGATCCGCTTTATTGCTACACGTTCTTGCCTGGGTTTGCACAGGGCAGCCTGAACCACAGCAGTCGCTCCACTGCCTGAAACGAAAACAACAGCTGTCAAATGGCACACTGTGCGGTTACTACTCGTGACCTCTTTCCTAAATCAATATCTATTTTTGTTAAAGTCTTCACTCAAGGTATTCAAAACATTACCATGTGACATCTTTTTAATTAAGAGTTTCCCTTAAATCCTAAAATGATCATCTGGAGGAGAAAAAAGAAAAACTGGATTCTTCCAGACAATTTACGTCTGAGGACACACAGGGACAAAAGCATCTACACACAACCCTGCATGGAAGCCATTTCCATCCTCTGGTCCTGGCAATTTCTAACTTCAGCACCTTTAAAATATCTCAGGCTCTTCTTCCACCCCAGCCCAAACCAAACCACTCCAGCCTGAGCTGCATCAGGGCTTCCATGAGACACTGCGACAGTTTATCTGTCCTCAGCACCCTTTGAGCTTATTTCTTCAGAGCTTACTCTACAATTAGAAAAACAGGAATCAATCCTAGCATTGTCATGTTGAAAACACAACTTTCAAGGATGCCAAGCAAAATGATGCAAATGTGTAATTACAAAAGCTCTTGGCATTCATATAAATTTTCTGTTTCTAAGGTTTCATGATCATTAGCTAATGCACTCAAACTCCTAAGAGATATAGTCATGTCGTTACCCGTATTTTACAAGAGCAAAATGTAGACGTGTAATGATTTGTGGCAGAGCACAAAGAGCTCTAATCGGCTTTCTATTCCACAGGGGCTAAAACGCCCCAGGTTAAGGCATCTCAATTCTGCGAATACTACCAAAAATGTCATTCGCATAATATAAATCCTCTACCACTGCAAGACAGCCAGTGAGCGAAACAGCCTGTGCTCAGGGATGTGCAAAGGGGGCCAGAGGTGACAATCTCATTTTCTCCCCAAAGTTTTTCTTCAGATAATATTTCTGAAATGAATCCTCAAATATCATCATAAAAAGGAAGGGTGGGGGGACTTTTGGCAATAAGGAAGAGAGATCAGCAATAGTGTTCCTAATACATGTGACAGAAAGTCATGGCAGAAAGGCATCTCTACTGCAAATCAAGGCTTTCCCACCTCAAGGAAGTGCCCAAATGGGTGTCTACAGGGCTGAAGCTCTGCCCTTTCTTCTGCCCTGTGGCCTCATTATCAGCTCGGGCCCCCTGACCTGGTGACCCCAGCAGATTACCCTAATGCTCCAAACCCAGGGCTCCAACTTCAAGACTCCCCATCCCAGGTGGGCACAGTGGCTCACGTCTGTAATCCTAGCACTCTGGGAGGCCAAGGCAGGAGGATCACTTTAGCTCAGAAGTTCAAGACCAGCCTGAGCAAGAGCGAGACCCATGTCTCTACTAAAAAATAGGAAAAATTAGCCGGGTGTGGTGGCACGTGCCTGTAGTCCCAGCTACTTGGGAGGCTGAGGCAGGAGGATCCTTTGAGCCCAGGAGTTGGAGGTTGCTGTGAGCTAGGCTGACGCCACAGCACTCTAGCCTGGGCAACAGAGCGAGACTTTGTCTCAACGAGAACAACAGCAACAACAAAGACTCCCCATCCAGAGAAGCCCAACCTGTGTTCACTGGGGAAGAAAATCCAGACATACTGACCACCCACTGCACAGCGCACACTTTACTCACATAAGCCCCTTACAAGTCTGTATGTTTTTATTAGCCTCATTTTATATGTGAGAAAACTTGCCCAAGGTCACACAGCTAATATGTACCTGAGCCGGGATCTGTGTCAGGTCTGCCAGACTCCAAGATCTGTGTTTTTGTTCTACTTCCCAGAAGCCAGAGCACACCCTTCCCTTCCTCACCTGTTTTGACCCTGTTAGGTAAGTATTTTCTTCGGTCCTATATGGTTCAACAAAAGAGAAGCCACCTAGAGGAAACGTTCACCTGAGCTGCACTCACCAGAGCTGCTACTGACAGGTTGTTTAAAAGGGCCTTCCTCTCCTAATCTCACCATTCGCTCCATCTGCTGCTACTCCGGGTCCCACCAGAGTGACCTCACTGGCCCTGCAGATCACACCATGTTGGGTTCAATCCAGAATGCTCCAGATACCAGAGCCAAACACTACAAAGAGCCCTGCTGATAACAAAGTGTATTTTCCAGGCTCCGGAACAAGAGACCATCACCGAAGGGAGCTGCAGAGAAAATGCTAAGTAGCTGGTTAGTACTGGGCCTGGGATCCAGCAGAGAAATCAACAAACATCTTTAGCTGCTGATTAGAGGCATCCTCAGCTCGACCTACTATAAATCTCCCCGCGCCTCTACTCCTCCATCCTTCATCCACATTCTAGAATATTCTCAAATCAGGGGGATTGGAAAACAAGAAAGAAGAAAACAAACTCCCAGAAAGGACAAAACAAGTGCATGTAATATGGAGCTACCTCTCATAATCAGTTAAGTCTTTGACTGTCAAAGTCTCCTGACTTCCATGGGCACATGCAAGAATATGGACACGAATAAGAATTCTAACAAGTGGGAGGGAGTAGGAAGTTTTTTCTATTAGAGCTTTACAACTAAACAACTGTTACTGCTTTACAACTACAGCTGACTAAGGAACAACTGGCTACTTCTCATCTCTAGAAAGAATAAATATGAAGAAGCTTCAAGATCTGAGATCACTGTCACAGCATGAATGGATTTAATCATTCATTAAACAACTTGGGAGAGCCAACTCTGAATCCAAAGATGTTCTCCAACTAAAGAGAGATCAAGAACAAAGTGAAAGGTAGACAGCACCTTAAAGATCAAGTCTGACCCCTCACTTTATGAATAAGGAAGCAGGGTCTCGCGAATGGTAAGGGATTTTTTTTCCTGCAGTAATTGATAAACATAGGATTAGGACCCTAGACATCCTTATTCCTTGTCTACTATTCTCTCCACCAGGTCAGCGTTTTTCCAAAATGCTAGTGAGAATCCATTGGTCATGAAATCAGTTTACGGGGTAGAGACCATCATTTTTTGAAGGAAAGCACCAGAATATATTAAGGGCAAGAACTGCTTTATGAAACTTTTGCTTCAGTTACACCCAAGCTGGAGTACAACACGTTTTACTGTGACTGATGATCAAAAGTTTGAAGCCTACTGTGCTAGATTAGGATTCCCAGGATTAGAGTAAATCCATGCTTTGAAAGCAAAGGAGGTGACCTAACTGTATAATTCTACACGACATTTAGAAATGATATGAGGACCATTTTGCTTTAAGTATTTTTATGCACTTTGATGATTAAAGAGGAAACTAAAAATGTGGGGCTTGTAAATCCAGGAATTGGACAAGTGTTAGCAACATGAAATAAAATAGCAGCAAGAGATATATCAAATAGCACCCTGTATTTATTTTGAACAATATTTGATATTTATACGTAACTAATACTGGTAGTATATTTTCAATGAAGTATTATGCACTGTTTGGGGGAGGCTCTTCACATTTTAGGAATTTCTGGTTTTATTCCTGATTCCTATTTCAAGTGAAATAAATCATTCTATAGGATTATGACCTATATGCACAAACTAAGAGAATGTGGCTTTAAAGCCTTTCAATTCACTGTTTTGAGTCACTCTATCTCAATTCACTTTTACTAAGTAATTCCAGACTAAAAATAGCTACTCAGAACCTTTAGACAGTAATTATGGCAATGGCAATCAAAGGCAGGAGATTCCTCAAGTTCATTATCAAAATGCAGACTTTTCCTTGAGTTGACACCTCTTCTCGTTCTCCCCTTTGTACTGCCGCTGATATGAAGGTAAATCACCAGAAAATTGCACAGGTGCACTTTACAGTTTTAGTTACCCAAAGAAATATTTCATGGAAATACAATTTAGTAGTATAACTTCGGATTTCGTGAAGTCTGTAAGAAATTAATGTGAAGAACTTCAGTGTTTCTTTTGTAAAAATCATTAGTGCTGTCAATTACAATCTGAACAGGATGTTCAAAGTCCCTACTCTTATACCCCATACAATAAATTCCTCTTTGCATTTAGTGCTAGGGTAAAAATGTCTTCCTCCTAAATAACTTAATAGATAATAAAAAACACATAGCATCATATTTCCCTTTACCATCCTGACAGAAAGCTCAGACCTAAATTTCATGTTTAATAACAGCAACTATCTGTAGCCCAGGCTTCCTGTGATTTCTTCTCCTTGCCCTCTGCATTATATGGCCCCTATTCCTTTATGCTTAATTTAGTGGTATTTCCATGACATGAAGCCATGTTCCTAGAGCCTACCAAGGTAAACTTGAAACATCACAACCTGACCACTAAATGTGAAAGAATGTGCTTAACAGCCACAAGAAAACTTTAGGCACAAAAAAGCAGCAAAAAGATGTTTGCTTATATTAACTCGTCAACAAATAATAATTAAACCCCTACCATGTGGCAGGTATTTTGCTAGATAATAAAGGTCCAAAGGTGACCATTCCTGTTTAAGTGGAATAAATCCTTCTACAGGATCATTTCCTATGTAGAGGTTAGGAAGGATGCATGGAATGCTGTTGTGGACTGAATGTGTCCCCTAAAATTCTTACGTTGAAGCCCAATCCCTAATGTGACTATATTTGGAGATACGGTAACAGATAATTACCTCCTTTATGAAGGTAATTAAGGTTAAATGGGGTCACCGGGATAGAGCCCTGGTCCAGTACGATTAGTATCCTTACAAGAAGGGACAATAGAGAGCTTACTTTCTCTCTCTGCCCTAGGAGAACACAATGAGAAAGTGCCTGTTCACAAGCCAGAAGAGAGCCCTCACCAGAAACTGAGCTGGTCAGCACGTTATCTCACTTCCTAGCCTCCCAGAACTGCGAGAAATAACTTGCTGTTGTTTAAGGCTCTGGTTTCCAACCCCCTTGGTCACGGACGGGTACCACTCTGTGGCCTGTTAGGGACAGGGCGCAGAGCTCTGCCACACCACCCCCCAATCAGTGGAAAAACCGTCTTCCATGAAACTTAAGAAAGGGGGCCCCTCGCCCCCAGGACAGCAGCAGGAGGTGAGCGGTGGGCAAGCAAGAGAAG